GCGCATCAAATGTTTAACCCGTCTTATGCATTATACGTTTTCACAAAATCGCATAAGTCGATTACCTTCAAAATGTTCCTTTTAAAACTAGATACAGAGTAAAACTAAATGAGCAATGACTTTTGTGAATATATAGCTCTGAAATATTAATTTCGGCCATATAAAATCCATTGTTTAGTTTTGAAGTAGATTATGCACTATATTTAAATAATATCAAATATCTCATTATTAGCTAGATAGATTTTTTCAAAAATCCCCACAAATGGAGGCATCCAGTATATAATTATGTGGTACGAAGCATTTTAGTGTTGAACGCTCTGCAAGGCTAAATTTATTTTCTAAATGAAAACAAATATTTCATCATAATCACGTGCTATGACGTCCGATCTCACTAAAAACTGCATCAAATATTAATTCAATCTTTATGTGACTTATGTGCAAAAAAGATTTGCAATCGGATAAAAGACGTTTATGCACTAGCGTTCCAAAAGTGGAAGGTAGCGGTCAAGCGTGAGGGGGTCGAGCCACCTTAATTCCATTCAGACGTCTGTTGAATTTTCTTTATATTTCATTTCAGAATGTAACCAGTCTCTTGGGCTACAGCGTCTTTTGATACCTGACGAACAGATCCATGCCTCCTCTTGGATGCCCGGTAGAAGTGATCCGTGGTATGGAAGGCTTGGAAACGAATCAAAAAAGAGCTGGTGTGCAACAACCCTTGATATAAACCAGTTTCTTCAGGTATTAGGCTTTAGGTATCCGTTATCGTAAAAGAGGAGTTGCACGATGATAGTTATCTAAATACTTTTTTAATGATTCTGCCAACTAAAGTTCTGGCTTATAACTTTTTTGCACAATTCATTCAGTTTAAGGTAAGTTAAATTTACGTGCGTAACGCAATTGCACCTTTTTCCAATATGCCACGAAATCGTTTATAGTATGTCATTTAATGCTATTGCAGGACGATTGCATGATGGTGTCATTTGAATACCGCTACCATAATGCTTCGCGAATTGTTTTTCTTGTTCAAATTTGTATTCCCTCATGAGAATAGTAAGACAATTGGTGCTAATTAACTGAACAAAAGAAAGTGTGCAAGAAGGTCTGATAGTAGAGGTCAATGACGCCATCATGCAAACGTCCTATTGCATATCAAATTTTCTTTGCAACATGTCACGCAATAGCGCTGTTAGTGTGCAGCAGCACCATTGGGAGATGTGTATTCAAATAGTTACATACAATGTTTGCATAATTTATTCTTTCCATGCGTGACCTAAAACTCATTTTTATTTCTTGTTTAAAACTTTACAATCTTAAGGCCATTAAATAATGGAGGTTATTTTTTTCTCGTAGATTGACTACGGACCAAATTTACGTAGGTTCACAGGGATTGTTACCCAGGGCAGCCATAACTACGATCATTGGGTTACATCATACACCCTTTCGCACAGCATGGACGGCAACAACTGGATCCAGTACAAAGAAAGTGGAGTAGAAAAGGTATTGAGCAACCCTTTCGAGTTGTTGTAAAGGCACATATTCAACAACGGTAACTCAGGTGAAGTTAGGAGTTAAAAAATTACGGTGTGCTTTAGCCCCTCTGTCCAAAAGTGAACCTTGTACGAGTGCTTAAAGCTAAAGGTATTTCGATCGAAAATTAGAATTTGAAACAAATGTGTGAGATCACTTCATGCGAATCCGTCAACTATCATTGCACCATCAGGTGATGGTAGCCATGATATTAGGCAGGAACAATACTCCCATTTCGAGTTCGCCATTGCTCAGGCGTAGCCTCAGTGGTGTTTGAATGTGTTCTTTTCTTTCATTAATTCCATTGTAAAGGGATGTACGCACTACGCAACAATACAAGTTGATTAAAATTCTATGGATTTTGTTTGAATAGTCGAATATTTTAACGCACAACCAAGACTAAGGCTGAGCTAAAGAGAACTTAAAACTAAAGCCTGGTTCACACGAGCAACGCAAACGCAAACGCAAGCGCAAACGCAAACGCAAACGCAAGAAAACTACGTGTGAACTACAGTAACACAAACGCAAACGCAAACGCAAGGAATAGAAAATTTTCCATTTTCTTGTGCTTGCGTTTGCGTTTGCGTTTTTAACGTGTGAACCGGAGAAAACGCAAACGCAAGCACWAACGCAAGACGTGGTTCACACGAGCAACGCAAACGCAAACGCAAACGCAAGGAAAATACGTGTGAACTATAAACAATCACTACTGCGCATGCGTATCTTAATTTACTTGCATTTGCGTTGTACGTGTGAACATTGCTTGCGTTTGCGTTTGCGCTTGCGTTTGCGTTTGCGTTGCTCGTGTGAACCAGGCTTAAAGCATTATGTCTGGTGTAATCTAATTTACATGAAAAATAATCAAGCTTTTCATGGTAAAAAAGAGTTTATTATTGTGACTCCTGTCATGACTGCCGTCACGTTATGGCGCAAAGCCTCTAATATGGATCTCTGGCAAACTTTACAGACAGCAAATCACTTCCCTCCTTTGACACACTTGCTTCACAATTGTTGTATTTGCAATGTAATTCTAGGTTTTTGAATTTGTTGTTTCTTTTCTATCACATAGGTGTTTACAGGCAACAATGATAGGACCACGAACGTATACCATCTTCTCAACAAATCAATCAATGCAACATTTTTGCGTTTTCATCCAAAAACCTGGAACGTTGAAATTTGTATGAGAGTTGAAGCATATGGATGTGATGGTAAGTCATTACTCCCCAAGTAATGAAGCCCCCAGGATGTACCATCATTTTCCCAGTTATTACGCCCCCATCCATGACGCCCCAAACCAAAACACACCCAGGAACTACCAGGCGCACTTAACTATTATGACCCTAGACGCCCAGCTCAACCATAACGCATGTAAGCATTTACACCATGATCTGCCATAATGTCCTCCAGCCATGACAACACGTAACATTTACGAGCCAGACCATAACGTCACGAACCATTACGCCCCCAGCCATGACAACACGTAATATTTAAAAGCTCGACCATAATGTCGCAAACCATTGCGCCCCCCAGCCATGACAACACGTAACATTTACAAGCTCTACCATAACGTCGAAAACCATTACGCCCCCATCCATGACTTCCCCAATCATTACATCCTAATATATTTCCATATGAAAGAAAAGATATATTTTACGTCGGTCATTCAACCGCTATCAATGGCAGCCGACGGTGGTATTGAGAGAAGCATAAGATACCTGATTATTACGGCACTATAAAATTTTTAGACATAGGGAATCAGTGGTTGTGCAATTGATTTTCAAACCTGCTTAATTTTGGGATCACGTTGAGCCAAGCCAAGTGCACATGCTAACATACTGCAACAATGTATTGTAATGTTGTGGTTTTCAATTCATGGAAGAACCATGGTTTTAAACTGCTATTTTTCTTCTTTTCCCTGTAATTGAAGCCTATATTTGTAATGTTTGTCCGCTGTTCGATCCCACGAGCCTTTACTATATCTATTTTTAGTAACCGTGAAAGATTCTATTCATTTATCGTTTTTAGTTAATTCTCTTTTTCAACTGCTCAAACTTACTTTGAAGTTGAACTAGTTCAATGGACCCTTCTCAAAAGTATCGTGGATGCCAGGCTAACATGGAAATACGAAAGAAACCAAGCTCTTTGGCGATGGAATTTGTGCGGTTCTTTTGTATTTCCATGTTAGCCTCGTATACAAGACAGTTTTAAGAAGGGTCCATTAGTGATATTAGTTTTTTTTTAACAGACTTCTTCCTTCTCGTTTACTAATCGTTTATACTGTTTGTTCGTTTTAACATTGCAGCCTTCTCTCAGCCTCTTGGTCTTGAAAATGGTAATGTTCCAGACGCAAACATGAGATCTAGATCAGATGTAAGCTACGAGTATGCAAAGTATGCTCGGCTTAATAATGTCAAAGCATTAAGAGCTTCAGTCACTAATTTAGAGTTCCTTGAGATTAACCTTGGAGAGACTTTGAAAGTTATAACTGCAGTTGCAACCCAAGGACATGGATCCAGAAAAGAATGGATAAAAGAATACTCCCTAAGCTACAGTTTAGAGGCAGCGGAATGGTTCAATTGTATGGAGCATGGCGAAGAGAAGGTATACCAATGCAGCTTTAGCTGACCATATTACTACCATTGAGACTTTGAGACTTGACTTTATAGACCTTTTTAGCTTCGTATGCAAATTGCCCATTTCAGATCACATGACATTCCCACGTGTTAAAATATTTACACACGAAGGAATAAACTCCCAAGTGGCATCACATGGTCTGAAATGTGCACGCACAACAAACGACAAAGCTAAATAGGACTATTACCCATCCGAGGCTGAGGAAAGAATTTGGTCGATTTGGCATTGCAAGTGCATTGTGTGTGGAACCGTATTAAGTGACGTAATATATGCCATCTTGGAAATATGTCCTCAAAAACAGTCCCACAATGTAAAGCAATGCAAACTCGACCCAATTTTTTCTTCGACCTCTATGAATGTCTAATAGTCTTCTTCACAGTTCCCTGCGCCATCTTGAAAGGTAGCCGTGCCTTTGCATCGAAGCGGGACGAACGGTGAGCTTGCAATGATAGAAACATGCGAATAATTGTCGAAGGTGTTAAAAAAGGTCCCTAACTTTGCATGCTCACCGTTCGTCTCGCTTCGATGCAAAGGCACGGCTACCTTTCAAGATGGCGCAGGGAACTGTGAAGAGGACTATTGTACACACAGAATTAAAGGAGGATCAAAATAGATAGAGATTTAGAATGTGAATTAGTTAAGTGTGCAGTGGTGGCTAACGTAGTTTAAACTTTCGAGTTAAACGAAAAGATAAGCATTAAACCTCGTTCCCAAGCACTATAACTTATCTATATTTCTATATCTTCATGTATTTTCAAGTGCTACGCGGTCCACATACTCTCATTAAACTAACTATTCATTGCTACTGTTTTAGATGTTCGTAGGAAATTCAGATCAGCACACAGTTGTTAAGCATGTACTTACTCATAACATCACAGCTCTTTTGGTCAGGTTTCACTTCATTCAGTATTATTTCTATCCTTCTATAAGAGTAGAACTCTACGGAGGCGAAGGTTAGTACAACTATAATAACTAATGATAATAATAATAATAATAATAATAATAATGGTGATGGTGATGGTAATAATGATAATGATAATAATAATGATAATAATGATGATGATGATGGTAATGATGGTGATGATGATGGTGATGATGATGGTGATGATGATGATGGTGATGATAAAGGTGATGATAATTACTTATGTAAATTTACATGTGGATATAATCAACTGCGCCTTAATGTTAACTAGCTAAGCTAACTCGAGACGTCAGGGTTTTTGACGATCAATTTTCCACTTGTTGGGATTAGTACTATTTAGATTGACTGAAGCCAAAATCACAAACGGTCTTGAGCTGTTTTGGTGTATAATTGTCACCGCAAGGCTGTGGGGAAGCATTAGCAAGATTGCCGTAATAAAATATTTGAGAAGAATTAAACACACAGCAAGTATATATAGCTGAAAGTCGTGTTTCATCTTATCATGGTGATCATATTATCTATGATCTAATATCTATGATATTAGATAAGTATTTTATAAGTATATTGATAAGAATATCTAATTATTAAGGTACTTTGATTGTTCTTATTTATAGTTTGCAGTGACCCATTTGGTATGGAAAACAACCAGATCCCAGATAGCAGTATTAGCGCAACTGCAAACTCAGGAATTGGTAAAGAGGCTAAAAACGCCCGACTGAACAACGCAGCAGCTTGGTGCGGGGTTACTAACCAAGACTATCTTCAAATCGACCTTGGAAGAGTTCGTAAACTGCACAAAGTGGCTACCCAAGGACATCCCTCCCTGAAACAGTGGGTCACCAAATTTGCGTTTCATTACAGCTTGGACAATGTTCACTGGTATCAGTACGAGCGGACTGAGGATGTTAAACAGGTAAACAATGGGGAGAGGGTGTTTTGATCATCACGTGTTATGCCATTAGAGAAAGAGAGAACGAGAAAAAGGTAATACTACCTTACAGACTCACTACCTGAATAGAGGAGAGAGCGAAAGGAAAGCTAATTGATTGATCTCTGTGCTCTACAAACTTTTAAGAGAAATTAGTTGCCAAAGATCAATTGATTTCCTGTTAGAAAGCAAACTACAGCTAAGGACAGAAAAGCATACTCCAAACGATATAGTAAAAATCATTCAGCGTGAGCGTAAAAATTTATGCATTTGTTTCATTGCTTTATTCCCTTGAGTGTTGTTTTTTTGTTTACCAGGAAGGCGTGGAAGATTTTTTAAAATGGAAGTATATAACTCAAACTAATGAATTGTATTCCTAAGGAAATTACCCGTGGTCTTAAAAAACAATTTATCCAAAGTGGATGTGTTTATGTTTACTGTGTTTTACACCAAAATAAAAGTGATTTGGTTCATGATTTTTACATTTCTGTCATTCCACTAGTTCACCGCCAACACCGATCAAAAAACCATTGTTTACACTAAGCTAAACAAAATCCGTCAAGCACGTTATGTGAGATTTCAACCCATTACCTGGAATACAGGAGCTTGTATGAGAGTCGAGATTTATGGATGCGAAGGTTAGTCAGACAGCAAATATATCCACTCTCTTCCTCTAAGTTACTAGAGCAATTTGATTAGATTAATAACGTCAAAGATTGACGTTCACTATACGTCATTTCCTGTCCGTGCATGAAGTTCATTTAATTTTTTAATAGTATATGGAACTGTCTGAAAACGCATGGTGGTCAGTGTTTGACCACCATTTGGGGCAGATTATGATATTCAAATAATTAATTTCATCAGCTACTTGCAATAGCGCAGCGCGCTGATTCTAAAAATAGCTTAAAGATTCGGACAAACATTGCATTCTGTTTAACCTCTACGAGGATTATACGAACCGATTTTTTTATTTCTACTTAAAGTTACAATAATAACTCATGTAAACTAAGATCAACTGCGATCAACTGCGATCGGCTGTGAAAATTATCTGCTGAAAGTAAACTTGTAAGTTTGTTTGTCCGAATTTCGCCTTTGTCTTCGTTTTTATGACGTCATGCCTGCGCTGCGCTATTCAGCTATCGTTTTTTATGGTGGAGCAAATAATCAATATTGGTTGCTTTCCATGAGTTAAATTGACAATACTTTTTTTTTGGAATGCATTATTTTCAGACTGTATCGAGCCGCTTGGGGCTGAAAGAGGCCTGATTCCAGATTCTGCTCTAACAGCATCTTCGTGGTATGATATAGACCACGAGCCATGGCTTGGTCGCTTGTACGAGACCAGAGGAGAAAAGGCGTGGTGTGCTAAAACAAACGATGGTAATCAGTACCTTCAAGTGGATCTGGGTTACCTGTCTCGAGTGACCGGTGTAGCTACCCAAGGAAGGAATCGCCATTCATGGTGGGGCTTGAAACAGCCCGCCTGGGTTACTGCGTATAAGCTGAGCTTGAGTAATCATACTGTTGTATGGACCGTATATCAGGAAGATGGTGCAAATGATAAGGTAAATCAATAGAGACTATGTACTTATTGACAGAGTGGGAGGGCCGTACGGGAAAATATTTGGCTCGAGGTCATGTCGTACGGATAATCAAGAAAAAGAAAGCGCGCGGATTCGAGCAGGGCCGGACGGGTTTTTCCGGCCCGCTTACGTCAACCCGTCCGGCCCCCATCGCGTGACTTTTTCCAATGGTTTTATTAGAGCGCGCGAGCAGGGCCGTACGGGTCATATGATAAACTCCCTTTCTTTCTCACCCTTCTTCTTTATATCGTAATTAACAATTAGATTTACAGCCCGAATGGGTTATTGACTCATAGAGAGTCTAATTATTTTAGTATGGACCTAGTAATAGGTCAAATACAAAGAATGTACAACCAAACCACAAACAATGTCAAATTTGGTTTTAATAATTTAGTAGTAGCTCAGCCAATCAGAGTGCAGAATTTGGGATAGACCATTAGTAGGTTTATACCAATGTCTAATAACCTAATATCTACATACCAACCTAACTTCTTCCTTCCTTCCTTTCTTCCTTCCTTCCTTCCTTCCTTCCTTCCTTCTTTCCTTGCCTATCTACCCGACCTATCTATCCACCTACTTTCCTAGCTTCCCTTTCTGGTCGCGCCATTTTTTCTACCTAAGTAAAATTTCAGTTCAATTAAAGAACATCCAAAGGTGCGAAGCGTTTACCTTGGCCATCTATCTTTTAGCTCTTAACCCTTAACACACCCGGGAGTCACTTTTTCCCTTGATTTGAATTTTTATTTCTTCCCAGACGGCACTTGCAAGTGATATAAACTACAAATTTTCAGATTTCAGGATATTGCTATATTTTTTCTCGAAATGTAGGTGTTTATTGGGAATTTAGCTTCCTATGATGTCGTACGACATCCTCTTATTAATCAGAAAGTCACTCGTTACTTGAGATTTATTCCAACGACCTGGGAAATATGGACATGTATGCGTGTAGAGATCTATGGATGTAAAGGTTGGTGCATCTATTTTACCTTCCACATTCATCCATCTATCCACCTATCCATCCATTCACCCACGCACCCAACTACTATAACATCCATCCATCCCAAACCCACTCACCCATCAATCCATGTACTTCATCTATCCAAGCCATCCATYCCAAACCCACCTAACCATTCAACTACTAACATATATTCATCCATCGACCTATCAATCCATCTATTCACGATCACTTGTCCAGCTGTCTTTCAATTTCTTAATTCAGTACATTGCACCAGTTATTTTGTGATTCATGTTTGTCGTACATCCTATTTACAGACTGTGATTATCCTTTGGGTATGGAATTTTATCACATCAAAAGAGAAGCAATCCTGGAATCTTCTGGCAAGTATTTATCAAGATCTCTTCAAACTGGAATACCTCGTTCGGCAAGACTGAACTTTGACAATGTTCATGGCTGGGTTTCGGCCACTTCGAAAGAACATGTTTTTCTGGAAATTGATTTAGGAGTTGAGAGAGTGTCTGTGACGGCAGTTGCTTCTCAAGGCGATGGTGTTAAAGAAAGGGGTGTTTATGAATATGCATTGTCATTTAGTACTGACAGATTAGACTGGTTTGATTACAGAGAAGAATGGCAGACAAAGGTAATTTGACAATAAAACTTTAGCAGTTTTTAACTTCCAAACATACGGAAAGGCACCATTCTTCCGGCTACATCTTTGTTAAATACAAAGTTTATAAGACGTTAATTTTTCATTCATTTTTTTTTTAGGTATTTAAAGCAAGTAAATCTCGTTACCAAGCAACAAAAAGATATCTGAAACAGCCAGTTATCACTCGTTACGTTAGATTTTGGCCCAAACTGTACATTGAATTAGTTATCATGAGGGTCGAGGTGTTTGGCTGCAGAGGTGAGCTAACTGTTGATTATAGTTATATCAGTCAAATTCGGGAAGACTAGCTATATTTCTGGAAAAAGTTTATGATGTATCATTCGCATCATTAAATTGATCAAAGCCATCTTTGGTCCCCCTTTGATATTTGCGAGCTCAGGCTTTTAACATGTAATAATTTGTTTATTACACATTTGGGGTCGATTAAATGACAAGATTTATAGTTTCCACTTAAAGTGCTTATAAGCCTTTACACAATATTTTCAGAATTGATTCTTTAAATAGTGGATAGTTGATTGTGACAGTAATTCGTCATTTGAATGTCGGGTCTTTGAGATACGAAGGTTCATATTTTCAATATGTTAATGACTATGACGTAACATAAGGGATTTGAGTTATTTTGTGGCAACTTTTAATATTGAACGCTGGACGTTTTTCGAAAACAAATTTGTAAGAACCTTTACGTGAGTCACGATAAAAAGGGAGATGCTTTTAAAATAATTTATTCCAGAACGAGTGCAGTGCTGTATATTAAATGATCCCTTCTGTAACAAGTTGGGGGATCGAGGCGATAAACAGTTGTGTAACCTAGTGATTAGATAAGAGTCTACGAAAAGATTTTACATATATATTCTCATTTATTCATTTGACGTAAGGATGCTCGCAGTTATTGTCACTTCTGGCTCCAAGTGTTATCGACTCCACCAAGTTCTTCACCGGATCTAACACGTCCATGGTATCATGGAACCAGCAAGTACGACTTAATGACGCTGAGCCCGCGAATACCTGGTGTGGCAGCGGTAAAGATGGTGAATTTTTCCGTTTGAACTTTGGGACATTGAAAGAAGTACGAAGTATTTACATCCAAGGACATCCAACTGATGCCAAATGGGTGAAAGAGATTTCTATGAGATACAGTACTGATGGTATTTTCTTTAAGACTTATTCAGGATATTATCATAAAAAGGTAAGGAAAGGTACTATATAGGAAAGATACTTGGGAATATTCCCATTTATTCTGATTGGTTGATGAAGTGCGCTTTATGAGGGCACACAGCACGCGCGCTCACTTTCTACTTTGTCATTCGTATCCAAAATAACGGCTACTCTAATTTGTATTTCATTAAAAAAATGGAACATCTTGCTTGCTGTGCTGTGGGAAGTTATAAAGTATTTGGGGAATGATAGAACATACATACGATCCTTGCTTGCTTTATGCCTGCACACAGCTCGCAAGCGCGTTTTCTATTTCTTGTATATCGAAAACATTTTAATGCTTAAAAGCATTTTACATCAATAACTAGATCCTTGTAAAGTGCATATCGATATTTTTTCTCATGAGCTTTGTCTAAATAGAATTCTTGCATACTGAGGTGCCACTGGCTGTTAAGCAGATCCAATTTCTGAGAGAAATTTGTTTATCCTTACGTATGTCCTTTCTGGCAGTTTTTATGGTTAAAACTTCCTTTTGCTCACGCATATGCACTATCAAAGAGTGCATGCATAGTCTTGGACTTATAATTGTTGTGTTGGAGTACTAATGTTGTGTTGTTGAAGAAAAACTATTCAAAACATATTTCAAAAACAGAAGACAAATAAGAAATATATTTGGTGTCTTGAAAGATATGTTATGTTTAAACGGAACGATGTATAGCCTTTGATCAGTAATGTCATAAAACTTTCTAACAAATCAAAATAACAAGTCACACGAGAACAGTGGCAGATTCAAAACGATTTTAAGAGTCTTGACTGTTACCTACAAAAGACATCAAATAGCGTCTTTTTAAGGTCTTATTCTATTATCAGGGACGGCGGAGTTTTTTGATTGGGGGGGCTCAATAGTGATATTGTATGGCAAGGTGGGGGGGGGGG